GCTGGCGTCGGGCGCGCTGCCGGCGTCGGCGTCGCGGCCGCAGGGGCTGGCGCCGCCTCCGCCAGGGCAGGGAGGGGCGGCCGCCGGGGCTGGGCCGGCGCCTGCGGGGCCAGAGCCGGTGCCTAGCTGCTCCTGCTCCTGGTCCGGAGGCTGCTGATGCTCCTGGTCCGGCAGCGCCTCGAAGGGCGCGTTCGCCGCTTTGCACGCGAGCGCAACCAACCTGCGGGGCCCGAAGATATACACCACCACCACCTCCCTCCTTTTCGCTTCCTCTCTCTTCTTTCCCCCCCTCCCCCCTCCATCGCCCTCCCCTCCCCCTCCCTCCTCTTCGTTTCCTCTCTCCTAGGAGGGGGCGAGGGGGGAATGGAGGTGGTGGTGGCGTATATCTTGGGCCCCCCCGCAACCAGCTCACGGCGTCGTACTTCCGCGGCTGGGAGAGCACGAAACCGAGCGTCTTGCCGCCCGCCCCGCGAGCGCCGATGGTCGCCGAGAGGCCCCGCCGGGTTTGGGCACCTTCTTTTGGCAGCCTTTCGGGGTGGACGGGGAAGGGGGCGGGGGCAGTGCAGGGGGGGCGAAGCAGCTCATGGAGCCAGCTCGCGGAACACTCGTCCGCGACGAGGGCGAATGCGATAGGTTCGCGTCGCGTCGACCCCGGCGCTGGTTCCTGACACCGGTCGGCCGTTCCCGAAACGGCGGATCGTTCAACGCGGGGCGGTTCTGGGTCACTGGCGGCGTTCAGCCTTCAACCTTGAGGGCCCGCGGCGGGGTTGCCGACGGCCGACGCGACGCGAACCTACCGCGCCCCTTTGCCGAGGCGCCCCCTCTTCGTCCACCCCGAACCTTGCAGCCACGTTCTTCAGGACGCGCGGGTCCGCGGACTGCACCGCCCAGTGCGTCGCATTCGCACTCTTCTGCGCCCGAGTGGGCATGCCCCGGCGGGGGCCGCGCCGCGGCCGCCGCCGCCACCGGGCAGGGCCGCGCCGCGGTTCGCCGCCGCCGCCCGGCAGCCGCGCGGGGCCGCGGGGCTCTGGGGAGCGCCAGGCGGCCGCGCGCTGACCCCGCCGCCGCTGGGCAGGGCGCCGCTGACCCCGCCGCCGCCGGGCAGGGCTGTGCCGCGGCCTGCCGCCGCCGCCGGGCTGCCGCGCGGAGCCGCGAGGCTCCGGGGGGGCGCGCCGGGCGGCCGCGCCCGGACGCCCCGCGCGATCCGGGGGCGCCCGGCGCTGCCGCTGGGCCAGGCGCTCGAGCCGCAGAGGTGTGAGGAGGGAGGTTGGGAAGGGGATGCCAGGACTTCTGACGCCAAGGAATCCCAAGGTTGGAGCCTCGAGCCTCGTGGATCGAGATCCCGCGATGGCCGTCGTGGGGCCGTCTTCTCGTCCTCAGGCCGCGATCGAGATCGAGACGTCGCGTCCGGCCTGAGTCCTTACGCAGGGCTGGATCATCCGGAGCAGAAGGAATGGCACATCCATTCATCACGGTTGTCGCCCCGCTCCCCACTCCCCTGGACTCCCGTACGATCCACTCGGATGGCACAGGCACGGGCCACTACTACTACTGCTGCTACTACTACTACTACTACCACTACTACTACTACTACTACTACTACTACTACTACTACTACTACTACTACTACTACCACTACCACTACTACTACTACTACTACTACTACTAACTACTACTACTATTACTACTACTACTACTACTACTACTACTACTACTACTACTAGTACTACACTACTACTACTACTGCTACTACTACTACTTCTACTACTACTTCTACTACCACTACTACTACTACTACTACTACTACTACTACTACTACTACTACTACTACTACTACTACTACTACTACTACCTTAACTACTGCAAGCGTACTAGTCAGACTACTACTACTACTACTGCTACTACTACTACTACTGCTACTACTACAACTGCTACCACTACTGCCACTGCTATTACTACTGGTACTGCTACTACCACCACTACTACACTTACTACTACTACTACTACTACGACTACTTCACTTACTACTGCTACTGCTATTACTACTACTACTACTACTACTACTACTACTACTACTACTACTACT